CTGGTGGAAGATGTCCCTGCTCATGGCAGGGGGGTTGGAACCAGATGATCTTTAAGGTCCCTCCCAACCCAAACCATCCTATGATTCTATGATTCTGTGATTCTTGTGCTCCGTCCAGAGGTTGCCTCGGGCGGGCCGCTAGCTGGGAGAGCAGCAGAGCTTTGCTGTGGCAGATGACTGCAGTGAGGTGAGTCCAGGTCTGCATCCAACGCCGTCCCTCTGGGATCTGCTTCCCCAGCTGGAAAACGAAGCTGGACTTGCTGGGTCCACCCAGGAACGTCGTGGCACCGAGAGGGTTGAATTCCACAAGCACGCTGCCCCTGGCTGCCACCTTCTCGTGCTGTGGCCCTGCTCTCTGTCACCCAGGCAGGCCCTGGTGTGGCACGAAGCTGCTGTGTATTTTAAAGAGGGGACACTGTTCTCTTGCTGCTCTGAAGCAGAGTTTGCGTGTGCAGGAGGAAATAGCTGAAGCAAAATGAAAGTTGGTTGCTGAATTACTGATATTAATTGTGAATTTCACCACGGCTCTGGTGATGCCTTTCGGCGAGTGCCTGAATCCTGTGGGCCCCGAAAATTCACCAGGGAACGAGGTTTGTGAGACTGCCGTGCAACCCAGCCCCACTTCATGGCACGTCAGGTATTTGCCGGTCGTTCCCCGCTCCTGGCCCACCACATAAAGGTTCTTCTGTCCTTGGCTAGGAATTTTTCCATCGTGTGTGCTTGCAATGGCCCAAGAGGCTTCCCTTACCTCTGTGTTCCTGCCCCGCTTTCTGGCATGGTTTTAGTGAGCAAATATCACCTGCAAAAGCCAAACCCCTCCACCTGCAGCCGACATCAACCTCTGCTGGGCTCAGGGCTGGTGGGACACGTGGCAGGGGGAGCGGAGGGCCCCGCGCTCTGCAAGAGGCTTTTTCGTGGAATTGCTGCTCCTGGCTTGCTTGGGAGAAGGGGAAAAGAGAGGAGGCAGTGTGGAACAGAGGGGGCAAGAGCGTGCTGCAACACTTGCTGGTTAATGCTGTTTATTGAAGTGATATCAAGTTCAGCAAGGTCAAGTGCAGAAGAAGGCCAGTGGTCTCCTGGGGTGCATTCAGAGGAGTGTGGGCAGCAGGGCGAGGGAGGGTCTCCTCCCCCTCTGCTCTGTCCCACTGAGGCCCCATGTGGAGTCCTGTGTCCAGTTCTGGGCTCCCCAGTTCAAGAAAGATGAGGAGCTACTGGAGAGAGCCCAGCGCAGGGCTACGAGGATGAGGAGGGGACTGGAGCATCTCTCCTAGGAGGAGAGGCTGAGGGAGCTGGGCTTG